AGTTCTCGCACACCAGCTAAGGCATGTGCTGCCATACTTGAGCATGTTCTAAAGGAATCTCTGTAATCCTAAAAGGCTCATAAGTTCAGCTAATACGCACGGATGACGTCAAAGACGAACGTGAAAGCAAACGGAGAAAGGCAATGCCGACAGGGCGTGGACATTCGCTTGCAATACGGTGATTTTTTTCTGAATGCTCATCTTCAGTGCTTTTGGCGGGTCATTTTTCACTTCATAGTACCTCACAACTTCTTTCTTCATTTGTTATTTTTCGCAACGCGAACTCGGCTTAATAAGAACAATCGTCCAACGAAAACAAGTCAAAACGTTAAAATATTCTCTATTGTTTAGTCACTACGAGCGCCGGGAGTTACTGTTCGAGGATCGTACACCTTGCCATGCTGATCACGTTGGTGATGGTCTAGAACGCAAAACAACCGCTGCTGTAGGCATTCTGCAATCGATACGTGCTCCAAACGAAAAGTGAGTTTTGTATATGTTTTCAGTGGAACTGAAATTATTCCAATGAGAAGTCGTTTTTGCAAAATCCGTTATGTTTGTAAGATTATTTTGCTCAGAAAGCTTCTGCGTATTTTAATGTGTTTCAGTTCAAATTGCCTTATCTAGATCAGCCGTAGAGCATCTTTGTCTCTCATACATTTGGAGCGCGTTTACTCGCTAAAATGAAGCTGTTATCAGTTTTCTTCAATTTCAACTGCTCGAGCTTTTTCAAAAGACTTGAATACGACGTCTAAAAAAGCGATTTTGCACGACCCTTCAAATTTGGAGGACGATGAAGTTTTGGCACATAGTGAAAAGGATTAACTGACTTGTGATCATAAAATTCTGCATTGGAGTGTTCTCGAGCTATCGACCTTCCATCTTGCTTTCGTTATCTTTTTTACATTATAACTCACATTAGTTTACATTTTACATTTCAATAATATCAACTATCGCGACAGCTGGCTTTGAAGCTCGCTGTGTGGACAGGTTCAGTTAGAGCGGTGCTGCTTTTCACTGATAGCTCCTTCTTCTTTCTTTACCATCTAGTCACGAAAGCTCTCTTCTTTCTCTACCATCTAGTCACGAAGGTTCACTATTGAGAAAAAATTTGATAGCGCCTTTTTGATGAGTAACTCTTTCTCGTGTCGCAGTACATCTTCCACTATAGGCCGTCTCGCCGGGCTGTCAAGGATGTGGTTTGTTTCCATGCTGCAGATTTCGAGCGTATTGTGGAAACATTGCAGCTTGATCTCTACGAGCCTCCAATGTCTCAAGTATGTCTTTTATACCTTTGGTTTTTCATCACTTTTGCTTTTGCCCTTGTCTTTACCAATTTCGAAAACTTTTCATTTTTAGTGCGTTCAATGGGTTGAGGAAGCGAAGTTGAACCAACTTCGACGGGAAGGTGTTCGATATTCTAAGTTTCAGGTACTTTTTGAGCTGTTATTTCTTTAGTCAAAGTGGACACATCGAAGTTTAATTCCTTTTTTTATTTTGGTGCAATGTTTTCGTTCAATTCTAATATAGCCGTTTTTAATTAGGCTTTCTCTTCCAGGATAATTTATGTAGAATAGATTGTATGTCAATTTTTTGCTGAAGTGCGATGTGTTTGCGCACTCAAAGAACGACCAAATTATGGTAGCCCTTTTTCAAGGGCGAGGAGATGCAAATTATTATTGATTGACGCCCTAACGTTTGGC